AAATTGACAGCCAATCAGAATCAATCCTGCTGTAACGAGCTTGAGAATTTAAAGCGGCAGACGAGCGTGCGCTTCGAATAAAACGGACGATATTGGTCGCTGGTGTGGACGCTAATATCGTTATCGTTCTTGGTGTGAACGGGGCTTAACACTAGCCTTCTCTATTCTTTTTTTATTCGAACTACTTTTTTTGTTTTGTATGTGTGCGTGCATGCATGCATGCGCATATATATATATATATTGCGTCTGCTAAATGACTGAATGTAAATGTACTGGAAGCCGTGATTTGAAAACCACAGCATGCTGGGATCCTAGAAAGCCGGATAGATGGAGAAGATGCGCGTGTACCTTCCCGCGGTGGCGTCCGGTCAGCAGGATCAGGACAGTCCCGGGGCTGATGGACTTGCGCAGTTTCCTGCGGTGCTGAGAGAAGGGCTTGACGCCGTGACTCCGCAGCTTACGGGACACGTCCTCTGTGGGGTAGTAACGGGGCTGGACACAAAACACCACAAACGGCAACGTGACAATGATGAATGCAATTAAACTTAAGAAAATATAATCCAAGAACGACCAGTTTGAACTCCTTTGAATTCAGTTGAAGTTATTATAATTCCCTAATTCTTTTTACCTTCTTGCATCACATTTTTTAATATTGATTAGAAGTTTTATTTGACCAGCATTATGACATTTATACCATATATTCTGAAAATTTCCAGTATCAACTCCTTTGAAATCAATGGATGGATTCAACTTAATTCCTTATTAACTTTTTTTAATTATTAATTATTTGCTTTTTCAATGTTATGAGCACTAACAATATCAAATCCTTTTTAATCAATGGATTTAAATAGATTTTTATTATTTATAACTTGACTTATGGATGCACACAAAAACAATTATGAAACCTACATATTCAAAACATTGTAAATATTACTCTGAAGAGTTTTTTTTAATTTTTTAATCACTTGTATAATTTTCCTTAAAAGAATTTTTTCATTCTGCAATGGTTCATCAACAGACATGCATGTCCATGTTTATTAACAAAATTCAAGTCTCAAAAGTGTGAGAGATAAGGGAAAGAATATATAAGGCTAAAGACATCTCACAAAAGTATTTTAAAACTAATTTGCCTCATAGATCAAAGAAAATCTGCATTAAATCAAATGTAAAGTTAAAACCAGGGTCGAAACGGACAAACGCAAAAGAGACGTTCATGGTTCTACATTTCTGCTCCCAAACAAATCTCAGTGATTTGGTCATAACTGTCTTTTGCTCACCAGTTTGCGCAGTTTGACCACACGAGTGCCTCCATTTTTGTCTCCGCCGACAGTTTTGGTGGCTGTGGAGGGAGCCTTTTCCTTAATTTTCTTTTCAACCTGCAACATCAAGACAAAGTGTCAGAAAACACCTGGTTTGAGGTGAGCTCTGTGATCCTGCATTGAACACACAAACGTTGACCTTCGTCACGGGAGCTTTAGTCTTCCTCTTGTACATGGCCCGGCGAGCGTACATGGCCGAGCGGGAATAGCGGCCGATGCCCCGGACCAGGACAGGGTTACGGCTGCCATGCTTATGGGCCTTCTTCTTCTTATCGCCCTCAGCCATCTGAGAAAACACAGGAGTTATTAAAACATGTATGCACACAAAAATACATGCATCACTCCAGAGTTGAGCTTTTCTGAAAACAGGTCCATTATGAAAAGTACTATACAAATGAATGAATGAGACTTGACATCTCAACAGTGCTTTTCAACAACACAACTATTCTACTAATTATACTCAAATCAATGAGAAGCTTTTAATTAGACTTTAATTAGACTGTTGCATATAGTGACTGTTAATCGTGCAACATTTAAATGAACACACATACACACATACATATATATATATACACACACAAACACACATATATATATATACATACACATACATAAATATAACGTTATGACTCTTCAGCATGGGGCTGCAGTAACTCAACGTGACCTGATGTAGCATTGCGAACAGGCTAAAGCACATACATAAACACCTACATAGATTGACAAAACATCATTATATAACCTATTCGACACTATATACATATGACTACCCGCCGCGTACTACTTTACGATCTTTAATGTGAATATAAAGACAGAAATCCCGCATCGGTTCACACAGACCCGGTGCCAGGCCTCGGCGCGCACCGAACACTCGTAACGTACGTAAAACACACACTACATACACAAATATTCAGTTACTAACGCTATAGGTATCTTGAAACATTCATATATGATCCAGAGTGAGATTTTAAGATCAGATGAAACCGATTAACTCAGATTGTGTTTGGAGAAAACAGACACGAACGCCACAATTACCTTCAGCTAGAAAAAAAAGACCGACATCCGGGCATTTGACGTATATGTAGTCGTGACGTATGACGCTCGGGGTTCGTCTTCCGTCATTTTTCGTCTTAAAGGCGCAGGCGCTTCTACGGCCGCACGATGGAGTCAAGAGCGCCGATCACTGGGCGAGGAATGGAAATACTCCTTTGAAATGTTCGTCAAGTTATTTTATGAAATTGGAGCTCAATTTGTATGTTGTAGAAAATAAATTGAAGCAATACATTTGATTTAGAAACGAAAGGTCAGACTGCAATCATACAGTAGAGTAGTTCATTTGATTATTTTACTGCTGTCAATGCATGCAGTTTTGTAATGTATATGCATGTATATACATTATATATATATATACACACATTTTAGGGCGGTCAAAAGTTTGGAATAATTAAGATTTTAAAATGTTTTTAAAAGTCTTCTGCTCACCAAGGCTGCATTTATTTGATCAAAAACGCATTACAAATGCATTAAAAATTGTAAAATAATATTGTAAATTAAAATAACCGTATTCTATGTGAATAGATTTTAAAATGTAATTTATTTCTGTGCTCAAACCCAAGTTTTCAGCATCATTACTCCAGTCTTCAGTGTCACGATTCTTCAGAAATCATTATATATTAGTATATATGCACACTCTAAAGTGACAAGTGACGTGACATGTGGCCAAGTATGGTGACCCATACTTGGAATTAGTGCTCTGCATTTACCCATCCAAAGTGCACACACACAGCAGTGAACACACACACACTGTGAACACACACCCGGAGCAGTGGGCAGCCATTTTTTGCTGCGGCGCCCGGGGAGCAGTTGGGGGTTCGGTGCCTTGCTCAAGGGCAGTTCAGTCGTGGTATTGAAGGTGGAAGAGAGCGCTGTACATTCACTCCCCCCACCTACAATCCCTGCAGGTACGAGACTCGAACCCACAACCTTTGGGTTATGAGTCCGACTCTTTAACCATTAGGCCACGACTTCCCCCACTCTACATACATACGCACATTTTATTAACACTTTTAATCCCAGATACAATATTTAACGCTTGTAATTTAGATGTTATTTCTACGCAGCTACATGTGAAACATGTAACAAGATAACCCTGGATTAACTTAAACAGAATGTGAAGACTGATTTAGAATCAGAAGACTAAAGGTTATTCTTAAAGTCATTTATTTAAAGAATCATGGTCAGAATCCAGCTTTGTTATTGCATTATGTAGAACTCTACCTTTATATGAATACATCTGCAGGCCAAGAGAGAGAAAATGCAGTATTTTACAGCTCATTCTTTATTGATGAGAACAGTCAGAGTTCAGGTGAGTGAATCTGACAAGAATTCACTCCCCAACAATTTATCAACATTATACAAAACCATTTTCAAGTCCACAATCAAGAGTTTTAGTGACATGGAGCTGAATCACAATGAAGTATATTACATTTCTGGGAAACAGCTTATGTTAGATCAGGCACAGTGACAAAAATAAGGCACGTTACAGCATCACTGTCCCATAACCAAACACGTGGGGAAGCCAATCGTATGATTTTAAAGGAACAATCATCATGTGCAAAATAAACTGTTATTACTCCACATTTGTGGACGGACACTTTTGCTTCAGACTTTGGGACGGTGTGAATTAGGTTTTGAATTTGACTTGATTTGTTCGCAAGGAGTCTCCTCAACATGTGTGTGTTAGTTTCTCTCAGTCTGTGTTTTCCAGGACGACGGCGATGCCCTGACCGCCACCGATGCAGGCAGAGCCGACTGCGTACTTCCCACCGCGTCTCCTGCGAACAGAGAACAGAGTGACTTCATGCAATAGAAATACAGCAGTGCATGATCGGGATTATGCATCCTAAAAATAAGTCAACACAAAACACAGGGCTGCCCCCTGATAGCTGACCAAATGTTAGTCGATGAGAAGAAGCACTTTTTAATTGGTTGGTCACAGAAAAAAAAATCTCCACAGGAAGTTACAGTACAGATTGTTTATTTATTTATTTGTAATTTATTTATTTTCACAATTTCATGTTTGTTTTATGAAAAGGCTGTTATTTATATGATCTCAGAAAAAAACTGAATTCATGCATGTTTTTTTTGCACTGATATTTCTCATATATTCATTTGTTTAATTTCTAGTTATGCCCTATATTTAAAAAAAGAAAACTAAATATTTTAATATTATATTCTATATAATATTATATTTTTTCAATAAATATATATTTCTTGTGAAAAGGCTGTTTTTATTTATAGACATTTATATCTATATTTATAGATTTTACTTATATATATTTATCTAGTTTATGTTTTGACATCAGAAAAAATGCACGAGTTTACATGCGATGCTTTTGCACTAATATTTCTCAGTTTGCTATATATTTATGTATTCATTCATTTATAACTTTTAACATTTTATTTCCCACATTTTAAAAAGAAACAAAAATACTTTTTATTTTTTAAGTTTACTTTTATACCAAAAGGTGTTTTATTTATATTTTTAAAAAAGTTACATTTTCTAGAAAAAAATATAATAAAGTAAAAAAAGAAAAAAATCCAAACATAAACCTATTCTTACATCAAAAACAAAATGTACCCCTTGTTTCTTTGTTTTATTTATTTTTCCCCCCTTTTTTTCTGTGTTTATTTAATACTGTATGAATATTTTCTAATTAAGTAAAAGTAAAGGAAAAATTACGAACACAAACACTTCCTTGAAATGCATTAATGAACGATGCACCTGTGCATTAGGAAAGTCATTTCATGTTGACATTGAAGAGCGGTCTTTACCTGAGCTCATGAACGAGGTGTGCAGTGATTCTCGTCCCAGAGGCCCCGAGAGGGTGTCCAATGGCGATGGCCCCTCCATTCACGTTGGTCTTTGCAGGGTCCAAGCCCAAAGCTTTAGCCACAGCCAGATACTGAGCAGCAAACGCTTCATTGACCTGACAGATACATGAAACTCTGGATCAAACCTGCTCGAGCATCTCTGGAAACGTCACCACCTAAATGCATGCATAGTGTCATACAAAATAATAGAAACCCAGAGTATGTTATTATAATCTACCTCCACCAGATCCATGTCTTTGAGTGTAAGACCAGCCTTCTTCAGAGCTTCTGTGATGGCAGGTACAGGTCCTGTCGCATTTACAAAACATTATGAATGATTTGATGTATTATTCTTTTACACGTAGTGGGGAAAGTATGTTGGTGGACAGAGCACTCACCAATGCCCATGATGCTGGGATCACAGCCTGAGGTGTGATAGGCCACGATTCTAGCCAATGGGGTGAGTTTGTGAGCCTTCAGTGCGTCCTCACTGGCTATGACCACAACAGCGGCACCATCAGACACGCCCTGTGGGAGGAGCCAAAAACATGCAAATACACACTGCAAAAATGACTACACAAAATGACTACAGTGGCACTGCTAAGTAACATAATATGTTTATATAAATAATAAATTATATATTATAAATTATATATCAATATAACAAAGTTTTTTTACACATACATACATATAAATATATATATATAATACTTTAAAATCTAAAAATAAATATATTAATAAT